CATCCATCCCATTTTCTCTTACAAGAGATCTATTTTGGGCCATTTAACCATCATGAACAAAATTGCAACGAAAACAAAATTTGTTTTATTATCCTTTGAGACACTACTGAATTTTCCAATACTTAGGAAATGTGCTTATTTGACAACAAATTTGATTATAAATAAGAAACATAGTTTATAAATGATGCGTATTGCAATTACAAATTGCATGCAAGATACTACTAAGATAGCCAATAAAACCAAATCTTAGCTGTGCGTATGCAATTGTTTTGAAATTCGATTCGAGCTGTTTAGAAATCATCAAGCATAGCACACAAATCAAGTGGAAAGCAATAAAACATGGAAATGTTTAATTTAAAGTTCCTGACAAATGTTAAAAAACATCCAAAATTATCTGCAAATTCCGTATATCTTTTATTTGTCAAATAAATTTCTTTGAATTTGGTGACCCACCACAAATTTGTTCATGACTCCCAGGTTTAAAATTTTGTAAAAAAATACAAGTTATCAATTGCATTTTGAAAAAAAAAAAAAAAAAAAAAAAAATGATTTCAGGCTTGTCTTCAACAGAACAGCATACAATAGAGTATTTTCAAATTTACGGGAAAGTACGACTTATGTGAAAATTTATAAACATTGGCTGTCTAATGTGAAAAGTGAATTACGGTTTAATATGTTATGTTCATAGCTTGTGTATTTTGATTATCTAACTAAATACAGAATGATCCGTTTTTTTTAAGCTTCTGCCGGAATAACTGCTATCAGATGAACAGAAAGCAAGTGTTGTATTCTTATTCAACAATTACAATACTCTTGCATAATACTTACAAGGAATGAGTTAGGTTATTTAACTAAAGTGCAGTCAATTTTATTCTTATTTACATGAATGATGTATCACACAATGCTGTGTAGGCTGGTGACCTAGCGATGATGACTCAAATGCATCTTTGCATTCAGGCATACACTCCTTATAAGAATATAACCATGCATGCACTGGAGTCCTAGCTTCAGCAGGTACATTTTGCTGTGCTATTCAATTTCTGTGGGTCCTAAATTCTAAAAGCTTTTCCACTCCTAAATTCCAAAAATTTTGCTACTTGATGTTTCTGGAAATTCCAAAGTTTTCCACACCTACCATAACCGCACTGACTGTGGCCTCAGTTATCCAATGTTCCAACAAAATCAAATATTGTAACGTTATTTTAGACCAGTTTCTTAAACTGTAGATCGCAACCCCCATCTACAGCAGGGGTCGCAAAAAATTTTAGTAGTTTGGTATTTCTTAAACTTAATATAATTTTACAATTACCCAATATTTTTACACAATGTATCTGAAAATAGATAAAGATAAGACAATACAGACAAAGAGAAAAACAAAAATGTTTCAACGCATTCTGTTTATAATATAAATGTTCATTTTACTTGCTTTGCACGTGACGCTGTCATTTCGTCTGTTACTTAAAATTTTCACATTGTTCTATGTCTTAAAATGAGAAATTAAAGATAATGACCTAAAACTGCAATACTATCTTACAATACAAGTGAAAAAATTGACAGTTTCACTCGCGCGTGTCAGATTTTCGCAATGCTTATGGGGTCCCACAAAATTTTCATAAATATTTTGGGGTCGTGAAAAAAAATCTATGATAAAAAAGGGTCACGACTGAAAAAAAGTTTAAGAAGCCCTGTTTTAGACCAATCAGTTTCCTGACGCCAACCCATTTTTTTTGCCTGTTTTGTTTCTCAGCCGAATTATGTTTCTGTGGGAATTTTTCTATATTTTTACTGTTTCAGCTGAATGGAAAAACACGCTAAAATGTTTCAAATGACTATTAGGGAAAGAGGATCAAATACCCCACATTATTATTATCTCTATTTATCTCCTGTTTTAATTCTGAGTTGAATTATGTTTTTTTATAGAATTTTTCTGTATTTTTACTGTTTCAGCTGAATGGAAAAACACGCTAAAATGTTTCAAATGACTATTAGGGAAGAGGAATTAAATATCCCACATTATTATTATCTCTATTTATCTCCTGTTTCAATTCTGAGTTATGTTTTTTGATAGAATTTTTCCATATTACATATTTCAGTTCAACAAAAAATCAACTTTTAAAATATTGAGGAAAAGCATGTACTAAAATGTTTCAAAATGAAAATTGGGATAAATAAATATATAAATTAGTTTTTTCTAGGAGTGTAGGAGTTTTTTATATAGTATATAAAGAAATTTAGAACCAACTTTTCACAAAGACTAAAAAATTGAAGTTCAAATGATCTTCATAAAATCCTATAAATGTGGAACAAGAATAATTTAAAATGTAAAAATTAACACGTTGACTGCCGCGTGCATTTTACGTGATTTGCCCATGACGCCAACTTGAAATTTTTATTATGCGATATATATTATGTTGAAATATTATCTACAGAACATAATGTGATTTATATATAATCGTGCTTAATGCATTTTTCGTGCTGGGGGTCACCAGCGACCTCCAAACATCTGTAGACCATTTTTGTGATTTATAATTTAAATTTTTACGATTTATTATTCTTCAAACCATTATAGTAACAATGGTACTATTTAAAAATTTATCAGTATCAATATTTATTCTAATTATGTATTTTACTATTGGTCGCATTGCCAGTGGCACCCACGGCGCTGTAGCCAAGTCAAGTGTTGGTCACCAGTGACCCCCCACGTCAGTCAACATGTTAAAATAAACCATTACAAGAAAAACCAAAAAATAGTATAAAAAAACAAGAAAGGCGGGGAATCCAACCAACCTCAACATAATATCGTCATATTGTATTTCTTTGTCTGTGAGTTGTGCTGGGGTTAACTGTTTTAAATCCAGAACAGGTGGGTGAGAAACAGAATCTACTTCTATTCGGGACAGTGTGTCAGCAATGACATTTACCCTACCTTTAACATAGTTCATATCAGTGGAAAATTGTGTGATAGAGTAGTATATCCGAAATTACCTGATAGATTAGTATACTGCCAAAAGTTCGTAGTCATATGTAGACCAATTCCGTTGACTCTTGTTTGATTTTAAAGAAAGAAATGCTAGTAGCAACGTCACATGCATCGGTCCAAAGACTGAGTTGAGCACCAGGAATTGGATGTCTTAAAAGGGTAGCTTCTTTAAGAGCTTCTTTAGCTACTAGAAAGGACTTTTCGGCTTCCTCAGGCGACTGGAGAGGATTTTCAGTTTTTAGTTTTTTTTTTAGTTCGACAGAATGATTGCTTTTTCTTAGAATGACCTTTGATGAACTTAATTAAGGGGGACAACATGTGCACAGTATTTGGCACAAATCTACGATAAAAATTGAATAGGCCAAGAAATCTGCAAAGTTGTGTTAGTTGTTGGTCTGGGAAATTTAGAAATTACATCAACTCGATCTGGAATATGAGAAATACCTTTCTTAGAGATTGTAAATCCTAAGAACCTAGGATTCTAAATCCTTTAACTCAATATACACTACACTTTGAGGATTTGTTTGATAAACCATAATTATCTAATCTTATAAAGAGAGCTCGTAGAATGTTCAAGAGATGTTCGTTGCTTTTTGAGGTAATGAAAATATCATCAATAAATGCATATACACAGTTTAAACGTCGCGTCACCTCATCGATAAACCGCAGTGGCTAATCGCACCGACGGTGCGAATAGCTAACAGGCTATTCACATCACCTACATATGCGCATGCGCACAATCAGCCCACATACCAGCGTTTTACGCCGATTTCCGTAAGGCAGGCTGTAGTGAGAGCAAAGATTGTTAACCCTAAGTCAGCAATAGAAAGGGTTGTTAATAGTTCACCAGCAACAGAATAATTTGCAAGTAATAATTATCAGTTGCAAAGACGAGGTCAATTTATATACATGATAATGTTCAGAAAATGATTAGATAAAATAGGGATTTAATGATGGTTCTAACTGCAAGCGTAGACGAGTAATTAGTTAAAAAATCTTTAGTGTATTGACAAAAAAGCTACAGAAATTACTTAAACTCTTTTATTTAACAGAGGAATTTTTATGCAAACTTAGACCTTATTCTTATAGCATAAGACTATCAGAATTTATTATTCAATTAGAAAACTCACTGAAAATGATAATATTCTTATATATTCATCACTTTTTCAGTATCCACACAGGTTTATAGGTTCAAATGCCATATTTCAAAATCAAAGTTATTTATGAAATAAAACCATACAAAATATGATAAATCATTTGTGTGTACAAATTTTTAAATCAAAATCTCTTACATTTAATTATTTCTGTCTTTTAAATTACATCCAATTATTTATTTCAATTTAATTGATTAATGTGTTTGTACTAATATTTCAAAGTTCTTTGAAGCACTTTTTGTGTTCTGAAAATGTCAAGTGTTTCCATAAAAAAATAAGCAGGCATACAGAATTGTTAATAACCAGTATTTATGATAATAATTCATTTAATAGTTGATATAATCGCTTTTAACTTATTTTATGTCTAAATTTTCTACACAGAAATTCTCTGTCTAATTTTTAGTATCTTTTATCGGACGAAATTTTCAAAGAGGAATGAATTAAAGTCTTGATTGCGCAAAACACATCTTTAAAGCTAAATGTATTCTAAGAAGTACAAAAAATGTAAACAAGATTCCCTCCCCCCAAAATCAGTCATTTAAACTATTCAAACCGTTCAGGAAAAGGATAAACATTGCGAGCATAAAAAATCTGCCCTTGTTTATATATACTTTAATAAAAGGAAATGTGTTCCTTCTTTTAATAAAATAGGAACCCATTTTCCTTTGTAAACTTTTGAAAGTCGCCAACGTTTAAAAAATGATAATTTACGCCAAGGTAGAAACCCGCCTTCACTAGAACAGTTCGCGTACGTAGAATCCGTTCCTTTCGATTGGGTTCTATTGACGTATCTGACAACTCAATGCGCATGCGTGGTTAATGTTGGAGCGAATAGCTTAAACGGCAAACCGGTGGTGCGAATAGCATCGGCCTCGATAAACCTTTGAAAAGTGCCTGATGCATGGGACAAACCGAATTGGATAAGGAGACACTTTAAAAGTCAAAATAGTGTACAGAGAGCCGTTTTATGACATCCTCCGGAGCAATCGGAATTTGATAAAATGCTTTGACTAAATCTGCATGGGAGAAGATGTTGTACTCATGGAGTTCACTAGTGAAATCAATAATACTAGAGATTGGATACTTGTCCTTTTATTTGCTTATAATTTGTCCACCCAAGGAATATGCTTTGTCCAACACGGAAGCAAAAGCAGTAACAGTTCATTCTTCAGTTTTGTAAATAAGCATAATTGTTGAGAAACAATATCCTGAAATATCTTTGCTGAGAAAATTCGAAAAAGCATTATCTGGTACATAACTATTCTCAAATTTTCATGACATAAAATTAAAACTATTTCTTGAAAAACTCTTCTATTACACAAACCAAATGTTATTAAACCATACCTTCTGATTTTGGATTTATGTATCTATGTCTCTGCAAATGTTTGTTCAACTAGCATACCTGGTGGTCGAGATCCAAACTATTAAAGCTGTCTCTTCATTGAATATGTTCTGTAACTCGAATGGCAACGACAAGTGAAAACTGAATTCTCTAATGCGGGAACTTTAATGTCATGAATGGAAAAAAGCAGAAGACAATTTTACCTGTTGTTATCGTGGAAGATCATAATGACGTAAGTTTTAGCGGTACCATAATCATTTGTTTATATTTTAATTTGGGAAAAGCTAGTCATGTTGAGCGTTATGCTTATTTAATCATTGATTTTTTAAAATCATAATTCACTTGTTCTATCATCTCTGACAGTTCACCTATTCTGATATCTGATGTGGTTAACTCTTACTCAACTTATCTCTTATTCAATATCTATATTTTTTGTTACTTTTTTTTGATTTGTCATCACAAAATTCAAAAATTTTGGTTGAGTGCTTAATTAATTACTTAACTATAATTCTGACTATAATTCCTACTATGTGCGTTGTAGCAGTGTGGTTATTCTGAAGTTGAACTGCGGTGCTTAACCACCAGGGTGCCTGGGCGCCATAGCCCTACCCCTCATCGAATAACATGATAAAAGTTTCGAATTATGAGAAATGTAACTGAATGTGCTAAATAATTAAATGAGCAAGAGTTTAAATTCATAATTGCTAATAGTTAAATACATATTTTTCCTTAAGTACCTAATTACTAATCCATACATAATTAACTAATTTTTTAACAACTATTTCAGAGAAGAATACATGTACACACAAGAGAAACAAAATACGAAGTGCGACGCCTTAGTGCCACTAGTAAAAAAAAAAAAAAAAAAAAAAAGAACAATATACAATAAAGAATTTGAGCAACAATTTGCATAACACATATACAAAATTACACATTACTAACATTTAGGATCGCCCTTGGGCGCTTACTGAAATTGGGGTCCCTAGTATCATAACAATAGTTAACAACCACAGGATTATCCAGAAGTTCCTGTTTATCATAAAATGCCCCAGATAGGCGGCAATAAAAATCACAAAGATCCTCTATTCTTAGCTCTTTACGAATTTGGCTATTCCGAATGTACCAGGGGGCATTACATATCATGCGCAATACCCCGTTTTGGGCAGCTTGTAACTGCCTTCTCAAACTTTTGCACGAGTATGCCCAGACGGGGCATGCATAACTAAGAATTGGACGCAACATGGTTTTGTAAATGAGCAACTTATTATCAATAGATAGAACACTGTTTCGAGCAATTAAGGGGAAGAGTGAAGCTTTACTAGCTCGAAACTTCCTGAGAATATGTGTAACGTGTGGGTTCCATGTAAGAGATTTACTGAGGTCCACACCATACATTTGCAGGTGAGTCGGGAAATTCTTCTTAGTAGTAAACAGTATGGCATGTGTCTTGTCGACATTCACTTTGACTTTCCATTTGGTCAGCCAAGTCTCTAGCGAGTGGATGTGGTGTTGTAGCTGTTGTATTGCTGAACTAACAAATGCACTTGGTTATTCTGACTATGTTTGTTTAAGCAGAAAATGTTCTTGTGCAATGCCAAACTCAGAATCATATTTCCAGTATCAGCAGACCTTGATGGCTATGCTGAAGTATGAATACCTATTTGATATTTATTATTGTAATGTTTACTTTATCATAAAAAATGTTTGGGTAATAGGGGTAGAGTAGACTTTAAGCTACCCCTTGTATTATGGCGAAGTTGCTGTTTGATTTATCGCCAAGTTGGTTCATTTATGGTAGCCTGAGTAGTTGAATGTATGGAAACCCTATTGTGACGTAATCGGTGGCATGTTCTGGGAAATGTTGAATCATGGGATGTTTGTAAGCGTTTTGTGGTGTGTGTTGGTTTGATTCTTTAGACGGGTAGAATGGTCGAATGTAGTAAGATTAATTTGAAGTTTCTGTACGAATTGGAGAGAAAGGGGAAAAGAGCTTTGACTTGCGTGTAAATGAAGGTTTACTTAGTAGCCATTATAAGTGTCCTGTATGTAGGAAGGATATGCATCTAGTTGAACGTAAAAACCGTTTAGATGGATTTGAAGGAGTTTGTAGGAAGAAAGGTTCAGATGGTCACTATGTGAAGCATTCGATCAGAAAGAGTACCTGGTTTGAAAAATGTCATTTGAGTATGAATGATATTTTGATTTTTACGTGGCTCTGGGTGTACAAAGCGAATTCGAAAAACATGGTAAGTGAATTTGCTTTTGGTAGTGCTTAAATGTATAACATGTTGTTCCTTTCTTATGTTATTTTATTGAGATTATGTATTTTTTGTTTGCCTATATTGTAGAATTCGGTGCTCCTTTGACTTTTTAAGTGAAAATATATCGATGTGTACATGGACAAAGTAAAGGGAGTGCGCAATGCAAGTTTGTGCAATTCTGGGATTTTTTTTAAGTGAAAATAGGTTGATGTGTACATGGATAAATTTAAAAGAGTGCGCAATGCCATTTTTGTGCATTTTTTTAAAGTGAAAAATAGGTCGACGTGTACATGGATAAAGTCAAAGGAGTGCGCAATGCCATTTTTGTGCAATACGGGGATTTTTTTTAAGTGAAAATAAGTTGATGTGTACATGGATACCGAGTTTGTGCAATTGTTTGTCTTGTTATTTTGGCTTTGTGTAGCCACTTCGCAAGCCAAAATAATGAGTCAAAGAATTGCACAAAATCGGTATCCATGTACCGCCAAAAATTGCCAAGGGGTACCCTAAACTATACTTTTACTGGGTAATAGTATATTTACGGGTACCCCTTGGTGAAAATTGATGATTTTTGGCGGTACATGGATACTGAGTTTGTCAAATTCTTTCTTGTGTTATTTTGGCTTTGTGTCACTGCATACAAAGACAAAATAACAAGTCAAAGAATTGCACAAATTCGGGGTAAAAGTTTACAATTGGATGCCCCGTGTTTTTTGGCGATTCTTTTTTGACGCCAAGATTGGTGCCAGGAAGGCAAAATTTCAAGATGGCTGCTACATAAAACCAAAATAAGAAGTCAAAGAACTGCACAAACTCTGTGTTCATGTACACATCGATCTGTTTTCACTTAAAAAAACATCCTAGAATTACACAAACCAGGCATTGCACAATGCCTTAAATTGTTCATGTACACAACAATCTGTTTTCATTTAAATAAAATCAGGAAGCTAAAACAAAGTTAAAACTGTCATGGTAACCAGAAGTGAGGTTTCATTGCCAAAATTTTTAAAAAATTTTCGCTAATCAAAGGGGCACCCGATGCTACACTAGAGCCAAATATCCATGTACACATTGACCTATTTTCACTTAAAACAACATCTCAGAATTGCACAAACTAGGCATTGTGCACTCCCTTGACTTTATCCATGTACACGTCGACTTATTTTCACTTAAAAAAACATCAGAGAATTGCACAAATTTGGCATTGTGCACCCTTATGACTTTGTCCATGTATATATTGATAAATTTTCACTTAAAAAGTGAAAGGAGCAGCCAACTCTAGGTAAAAGTGTATTTACGGAACATTCAACTACTCAGTTTACCATAAATGAAACAAGAACTTCGCGATAATAGAAGGGGTACCCTTCAGTCTTCTGTAACCAGCATTTTACATTACAATTATCAAACATTTTGTAAAAATAGATATGACATACATTGAAGTCATTCTGATTTACAATCAGTAAATAAAAATGCTAATATCTTGCAATCAATTGCTTGATATCTGTGAGGAGGGGGGAGTAGGCAAAAAATTTTTAAAATGAAAGTAAAAGCTTTTTGAAAGATTCACAAAAATTTTTACGAGAGATTTCTCTCGTGTTAAAAATTCACAAAGCAATGTGTTTAATTAATTAAATGAGTATTAACACAGGGTTTGCCCATCTTATTGATTTCAACATCATTGCAACATCATTGATGCAGGCTGTATCATATAGAATAAAAAGGTGAATGTCTGCAGTTTTGAATCTGAAAATGAGAACTAGCTGCTTGATTTTTAGGAAAATTAAACTGTGGCAGTCTTGCATTAAAAATAACAGTTTGAATTTACTGAAGACCTCAGATTGGGTAAAGTCATATGATAAAAACTTTGCAGTAGTTATTATCATTTTATCACAAGACTAACTGGATTTATTGGATTACATGCTCCTTCACTACATGGCCAGTCCAGTCTCAGAATAGGTCCAGGGGTTCAACCCTTTTCCCTGCACCTTGGAGAGAACTGGCACCAGTCGCCATATGGCAACGCTGGTCGTCTGTTTCCTACCTACCAGTCTCTTGAGCTGCCCGTTGCAAAGGGACATTACCCAACAAATCTGGGCTATCAGAACCAACTGCTCTAGGACATGCTAGACCTATGGGCCAGCCAATAAGTTGATTTTCTAGGGTCTCCAGAACCACTAGGTTCATAATTTGTATACCGTCATGGCTGAGACTGCCTAGGTACAGATGCTAGACAGTAGCTTCGCAGAGTTCTCTACGTTGACCACCCCCTAGGGAATCTACAAGACTAAGAACATTCAAGATTTCAGAAATTGCAAGTTACATTTTAATACTCTGGTTATTTCATTCTCAATTAGCATCAGACTTATCTGTGCATTTGCAAAGGGAGTGCAGAGTTACAATTGGATGTGAAACACAAAAGAAGAAAAAAAAATGTTAAACAGAATTTATGAGCTATACCTACCTAAAGAAAAATTTCTGGTGCTTTCCTGTTAAAACCGTATCATGCATTTTTGGCATCATATCATTATTTGGTTGATCTTTACAATATGGTAACTGGTAGTTTGGCGACATTTTGGAGGCGATAAAGGTTACTACCTGGGACTTTGGTAATAATGTGAGCAGTACTCAGTTCCGATTACGCATTATTTTGCGTGAGGGAAATGAGAGATCATGGGATATGTCATGTGATATTAATGGACGAATTTCGGTTCTTTAATCGGAAAAGGGGGGAAATCGGGGAAAAAAATGTGGAAATTTTGTATTTCGCTTTATTCTGTGTTGTGTGAAACAGTATTGTTTAATTTTTGGATCCCATGGCCCTAACTAAAGTGAATTCGAAATGGGTATTTAGGCATTGTGATAAAGAGAAGTTTGCTTTTTATTTAGCGGAGGAAGTATGGAGGAAAAATTCGCAGAAAAAATCTTTCAATAATTTTATTGAATGAATTAGAAAAGTGTATCCTCCACGTAA